GCAAATTAGTTATTTTGAACGACCTGATATTACATCCGGCGGTCTAATGACCAATGTCAATAAAGACTCGGAAGATGTGCATAATGCAATTTCAGAAAACATGGGATACATTATACAATATACCGTTACCGCCCTCAGTTGTCTCGTGCTGGCATTTTCGAAAAATGCTATTCTAACCTTGGTGATATTAGCCTCTATGCCGCTGGTATTTTTGGTATTGGCCATCACTTCTCGTCTTGCCGGTCCTTTACTATCGAAGGAACGTGAAATATTCATGAAAGCCGGTAATACACTCGAAAACGCCTTGAACGCCATCAAAACCATCAAAGCGTTTAACGGCGAGGAGAAGGAGGAGAAGAAACACCTGGACAATCTAGAGGAGGCTAACGCCACTTCTAGTGGCTTGGCCCGTATCTACGCTCTACGCACCGGCCTAATTCAATTCTTTCTGTTGTCATTGTTCTTTCAAGGATTCTGGTACGGGTCAGTGTTGGTGGCCGATAAACAACTCGTCCCCGGAGATGTGTTGAGTATATTCTACGCTAGTCTACTCGGTGTCAGCGTGATAAAGGGTGTGCTACCAAAATTACTGGCAGTATCCAAGGCCAAAGAAGCCATGAAATCAATAAACACTTTGTTAGGAAAAGTAGCGTTGATGGATTTGGAAGCATTAAGAGGTTTCAAATTGTCAGAGGTAGAGGGAAACATTGAGTTCAACGAGGTCAGTTTCTCGTATCCCAGTCGTCCGGACGTGCCGGCGTTGAACAACATCAACCTTCTCATCCCGGCCGGACAGACCACCGTGTTCGTCGGACAAAGCGGTTCCGGAAAGTCAACCATAGCACAATTGGTGCAACGTCTTTATGAACCGAATAATGGTTTGATCACTTTGGACGGACGTGAACTTCGAATTTTAAATATTTCCTGGCTTAGACAGCAGATTGGCGTTGTCAGTCAGGAACCTGTCCTCTTTGATGACACCGTATTTCAAAACGTCGCCTATGGAAGACCCGATTATTGGAATGTCACTCTGGAAGAGGTTATCTCCGCGTGCAAGGCCGCATGCATTCATGACTTTATACAGGAACTACCGGAAGGATATAACACCCATTTAGGCGACAAAGCAAAGAAACTTTCGGGTGGTCAGCGACAAAGATTGTCTATTGCTCGGGCTTTAATAAAGGACCCAGCCATTTTGATCCTCGGTAAGCACGGAATATTTGCATTCGCGTTTAGTCGCGCGTGCCATACTAACCATATTTCATCTAAACTCGTAGACGAAGCGTCAAGTGCGCTCGATATGGAATCTGACGCATTGGTGCAACAAGCTCTACATAACAGTCGTGTCGGTCGAACCACCATCGTCATCACTCACAATCTATCTCATATCAACAAATCGGATGTCGTATACGTATTATCTGATGGCGAAATTGTGGAATGCGGCACTACCACACAACTTCTCGAAAATTCAGAAGGTCAATTTTCAAAGTTAGCAGAAGAATCTTGTCAGAAACGTAACCCCAAACGAAGAACTCACGAATTGGATATGATCAACATGAGATTGAGATGCTCTGAAATTCACCAACCGCACAGATCGGTCCACATCGCCAATGATATCCCTCCTTCACCGAGCCTACGAAAACGAACGTCGCATGTTGGATGGAGTTCGCCTACTTATGCCGAACACTTTGACGCAAGATCAATGGATATTCTGAATACTTCCGCTTCAGCCGCCGTCTCACGACGGCGTATGTCATTTTTCGATATTTTAAGTTATTATGAAGACGAAACTGAAGATGGAGCTTTGATTGATATCTTGGTGACCAATCCTGACGACGCTTCCGTGAGAGAGGGACGAACACGTGTCAGTGTTCTGGAATTGATTCGAGAGACAATGCAAAACAGAGCCGTCTACTCGTTGGGAGTGATTTCCTCCATCATCAATGGTCTCGTGATGCCCATATTTTCGTTTGTCCTCGCCAGCCTGCTAAACACTTATGCAATTCCCACACGAGACGAACTATTGAAGGAATCCAGAA